TGTGTGATGCTTGAGAGTTCACCACATGATCTCCATTGTTGTGACAACTCCAGGAGGGAGGAGGGGATGTCAGTCCTGTTTTGCAGACAAGGAAATTGAAGTTGCCAGGCAAGTGTTTTCAGATGCAGAGTTCAAAGTCCATATGACCTTTTGCCTTCTCTTTTGTATCAATATTACACTATTTTGTTTGAGGATCCATTTCGATAAGCAGTAGTTGCCTGGGAACCATCCAGGCCTTTTATTTAAATGCCTGCTCTCCTACTTCCTAGCTGTGTAATCTTGCCTCAATGAGCCAAGTCCTCATTTAAAATGGGGCGTTATCCACTTCGCTGGGTTAGCAAGAATATTGGGCGACAAAGCCTATGTAAAGTGGCCGGGAGAGACTAGGCACTGGACATGCACACACTCAATGTTGGCTCCACCCATGTTTCTCTGCCTTCCTTCTCCAAGTTTCTTTCTGATGCTCCTTCAAGTAAAGCAGCTTGTTTTAGGTAACAATTGTGTATTCCATCTCTCCTCTCCATCCTGGGCCTGCCTTATACAGAGGTGTAAAAGTTGCTACCCAAAATAAGTCTCCCTCTGCACTGGGAATTCCACTACTAGAGATTCATTACTTTGGGTTGGAAATACTTTGTGATCTTCAAGCCGTATCATTAATGTAGAAGGTACAATGCCTTAGCTACAGATATGTCACCTCGCCAATGTCACCCACTGCCTTTTAGTGGGGGCTTTTAATTATTCACATATATGGAGGCAGGGAAACCACCTACACTTAAATCCTTCCAAATCCCTTGCAGAGACACAGGGAAGCATGAGCTTTGGTGTTAGCCAGCTCAGTCATGGTTGTAGTCACTATGTGCCTTTAGACAAATCACTTCATCCTTTGCAGACTGTTCCTCAGGTGCTATATGAGGATACTAATAGCATCTATTCCTAAAGGCTGCTGGGAGAATGGATAGAGACCAAGTTGTTAGAATACAGGGCATTTAGGAGGCACCCGGACAGCTGGGGCTGCCCTCAAGCTGTCGGCTAATCTTCAAAGGTCCCCTTCTCCAAATGCACAAGGGTCTTGGGGACTCTAGCAAAGGGAAGCATGAGAGTCAGGAAATTCATCAGCTTCTTTCCTGGGGCAGCACCAGGAGGCCACGTAGTGATGAGTAAAGGTGTCAAGCAAGAGGCAGGGGGCCCAGCACTCCAGCTATTGTTTTTCCAGGCCCCCTATCAGCTGACTTGATGAAATGTGTCTATCTGCATGACTGCACACAGGGTTATCCAAACTCTGTCAGGCCCATGACAGTGTCAAGGTACTGCTTTAAATCCCCTCGTTTTTAATAGTAAATCAATTATTAAATAAATTATATTAAATGGTATTAAATTTCATTAAATAAAGTCTATCACTGCCATAAATGGAAAACCAAAATTTTATATCATAAATATAAGAAATATTAAAAAAAAAAAAAAAAGAAGGAAAAACAACAACAGCCAGTGAGGGTAAAGTTCTAATAGCAAAGTCCAGTTAGATGCTGTTGCCTGCCTGAAGGCTCTAAGTCCCCAAACTAGGGTGTCTTGGTAAAAAAAAAAAAAAAAAAAGAGGGCGGCAATTAGCAAGCATAAGAGAGGTCTAACCTCCATAGTTGTTAGACCGTAACACAATGGGCACTTCCTCTTTGCCTAATTGGAAAAATTAACAGAGACTGAAAGGAAAATTCTCAAGTTCATTTATTAAGCTCCCCACACTCTGGGAAACCACTGGGAAGAAGGGCAAAACACAAACACCCCCAACTTCAAAAGCCTGTGTTTAAACACTCTGCAAACTGCCTTGGTTATAATTCATTAAGTGGATAACAAAAAACTGAAGACCATGGGAGCTAGTGTTTATAGCTCAGTTATGCTGAGCCAGGCACTGGGCAGTATTCTGTTGTCCCCATTTCATCCAGTCCTTTCCAGGTGGTGCCACTGGCACCCCAACCTTACAGAACAGAAAACTCTAGTCTCCTCACCCCAACTAGGGCCGCAACCTCTCCCTGCACAATGCCTGGCCCCATGGCTTGTCCTCAGGAAGGGATGTCAACTCAGGATGTGCCCACCCTTACAATTCATTACCAGAGGATTGTTTTATAGAGTTGTGATAATATGGGAAACAGCTTATACTTAAGAGAAAAATAAGGGGTACAATACAATACTGCTGTGGAATAGAAATATATATGCAATAGAAAAAGACAGAAAAAATACCAGAAGGTTTATCAAGCAGTTGTCTGTATAGTGTCTACGGGAGTTTTACTTCGCATAAAACTTCTACATTTTGTAATTTCAGACTTTTCTACTTTGAGCCATGTGATGTTTTCATCATAGAAAAAGAATCTCAACAAAATTCACAGAATAGCTATTTCAAGATTTAATTTATTATATTTGTTATATCTAAAATATTTATGCCACTCAGTGGCAATGCCATAAGAAGGTGGCTCGGGGGGCTTAAGTGGCTTTCCTGCTCTCTAATCTTTACCAGGTCTCCCTTCACCCCCTTACCCACCTACAAATAAACACAATTTACATTTTTTAAATTGCTCTTGCCATTTAAATGCCCCTTTAGGACAAGTTCTCTAGCCCTCCTTTCAGGTTGCCCCCCGCCCCAGCTACATACAAATTCTAGAGTTATCTCAAATACGCCACGTGACCCATCAAGCTCACAAAGATTTATGAACAGCCATGGGCTCTGCGGTCCGGTTCATGGGGAAGTGGTCAAAACAAAATACGTTCATGACATAGACCAGTCATTCTCAAACAAAGGCAGTTGTGTCCCCCAGGGGCCACTTGGCAATGTCTGGAAACATTTTTGGTTGTCACATCTGAGGGGGAGGGGGTGGTGCTATTGGCATCTGGTTGGTAGAGGCCAAAGATGCTGCTAAACATCCTACCATGCACAGGACGGCCCCACGATAGAGAATTATCCAGCCCCAAATGTCAATAGTGTCAAGATTAAAAAATTCTGACATAGGTTTCTATCTAGCTTTAAAAGAATAAGGTTGACCCACATGTTCCAATGTTAAGTGATAAAAATTATAAAATATATGTAGTGTGATCTGATTATTATTATTGTATATCTATGTATATACACACACAGGAATCTGGAGGAAGAAAAGCCAAACTTAACAGAAACTAGTTAACTCTAATAGATGTAGTATAACTTTCTGCATTACAATATTTCTGTAATGTCTTTTCGTGACAAACATGAATCAGGTTTGCATCAGAAAAAGCATGTGGTGGGTAGGTGGGTGGATAGGTGGATGGAGGATGGATGGATGGATGGATGGATGGATAGATGGAGAGAGAGAGAAAGAGAAAGAGAGAGAGAGAAAGAAAGAGAGAGAGAGAGAGAAAGGGATTTAAATCATTTCTTCAATTCAATAGATAGATAGATAGATAGATAGATAGATAGATAGAGAAAGAGAGAAGAGAAAGAAAGAGAGAGAGAGAGAGAAAGAGAGAGAGAGAGAGAGAAAGAGAGAAAGAGAGAGAGAGAGAGAGAGAAAGAGAGAGAAATAATGTGTAAAAATGGTAATAAAACTAGCCAGTGCAGAGAGTGAGCCCTTCTGCCTATAAACTTTCTATGGGCAGCTGCACAATGGAGACAGAGGCACCCTTGGAACAATGTGACCCGTGGGATAGGGACTTCTGAGGAAGGAGCCACTGAAGCTCCAGGGTGGCACTGTTCCCACAGAGCTGGCTAGAAGCCAGCTGTCTAAGGACCAGTGACTGGGACAAACACCCCAGCCAGGTCCTCTTCTCTCACTCATCCATCAGCAAGTCTTGCAGCTCTATCTTCCAGTCAAATATGTCCAGAAGCCAGGCCCCTCTCACCTCCACTGGCATCACTTGCCCTAGCTGTGGCTCACCAAATCACTGTAAAGCCTTATAACCAGTGCCTGGCTTCCACCCTTGCTCCCTCCAGGACATGGTCAGAGTGGTCCAGTTAAAATGCAAATCAGATCGTGTCCCTCCTCTGCTCAAAACCCTCCCTGGCTCCCAGCCTCTCTCAGAGGAAAGCCTCCAATGCCCTATGGAATCTGGCCCCCACCGCTCTGATATCATCACCTATCTCTCTCACCCCAGGTGACTCTGCTCCAGTCTCACTGTCCTTCTTGTGCTCCTCAGACCACCCCGACTTCATTCCCAGCACCTCTTCATGTGGCTCCGCTCCTTCTCCAGGACTCTGCTTCAATAGTATCTTTTCAGTGAGAGCTTCTCTGACCATTCTATCTAAAAGAACATTCCTCACCCTTCACCCCTGCTTTTTTGTTAAGGAAAAATTCCCAGAACAAAATTTAGCATTTTAACCATTTGAAAGGGCACAGTGGCATTTAGTATATTCACAATGTTGTGCGACCAACCACCTCTACTTAGTTCCAAAACATTTCTATCACCCCAAAAGGAGTCAACCCCACTACCCCTCTCCTGAGTCCCTGGCAACCACTAACCTTTCTGTCTCCACAGATTTGCCCACCCTAGATATTTCACATACTTGGAATCATACAATATGTGACCTTGTGTGTCTGGCTTCTTTCACTTAGCATCATGTCTTCCAAGTTCATCCTTGTTGTAGCAGGTATAGTACTTCACCTGCTTTGTTTTCCAACAGTACTTACAAAAGCATCTGGCACAGACACGACTTCCCGCCCTCCACCTTTTAGAACGTAGAGCCTAGATTTTCCCTCTTGCCTAAAACCTAGCACGGAGCCTTGCACAGAGTACATTCTCAATTATATTTGTTGGAAAAATATAGAAATGCCATACATTGTTTCCAATTCTCACACAAACTCAGCATCTAAGTTTTATTATTCTCATTTTACAGATGTGTGAAATGAGGCTCAGGGGATTCAGTAACTTGTCCAAGGCCACAGAGCTGGGATGGAGTGGACCATGATTCCAGCCTAAGACCTCTTGTACCTCCCTTGTGTTCTCACCCTCCTTACTGAGCAAGACAGAGTATTTCAAAAGCAAGACTTGGTTTGACTGCTCCATAGCCTCGGGAACCAACAGCTTCATGTTATTCAAGAATAATAAAAACTCAAAAGGAAAAATAGCTCCCAAGGGTTAAGTTTAAAATAAAGGCCTGCCAGTAAATATTATTATAGTCTTAAAATTCTTTTTAATATATTTAAGTCAGGCCCATAAATGGAAAATGGGCCACACCTGTAATTAAGTAAACAACTATGTTCAGAATACCTCCAAACAGAATAGGAGAATATTTTTAGCCAAAACACATAATAGATATTTTGGTTCTTAGTTTAGTTCAGGGAGAGCAGTTCTGTAAACAGGCACAGACTCCACCAGAAGACACACCAATAAATATTTTACAAACACCATTTTCACATGGTTAGGAGCAAGTGGAACATGCAAGTTGAAAGTAGAAAGGAAAGATCTTCAACATATTTCCAGTTCAAGGCCCATTTCACACTGGGAGAGGGCAGCTTGGGGACAGGGAGTGTGCCCCAGGAGTGGGCACTCTGGCACCACGTTAGGCAAGTCACTTCTTTCCCTGGTTTTCAGTTTCCCCAACTCTAAATAAGAGGACTGGACAAGATGATGTCTAGGGCACTTTCAGTCCTAAATATTGATATTATGTCTCCATATTAATTCGGCTTTACTTTTACACCAGCTCCTAAGTCACACTAAGGAGATAATGGCTGAGGATCTGTACATATCTAAGAACATCCTTCTAGTAACCCTTACAATTGACTCCTTCCCTCCAGAACAGACCAAGTTGCAGAAGCTGTGGTTATAGTGGAAAGTCACACCAGAACCTCATTTTTCTCTAGTAGGAGGTAGTGAGAACAGAGAGAGGTTCGGATCTGGATCTGTTTATGACATTATAAACCCTTTTAAAAAAATTTTTGCCACACTCATCTTCAAGGTAAGGAAACTGAGGACCAGAGAAGTCATCCACTAAGGTCAAGTGATTTTCAGCAAGGGTACCATGAGTATTTAGTGGGGAAAGAAGAGTCTTTTCAACAAATGGTACTGGGACAACTGGATATCCACATGCAAAATAATGAAGTTGGACCCCAACCTCACACCATATACAAAAATTAACTCAAAGTGGATCAATGACCTAAACATAAGAATTCAAATGATACAACTTAGAAGGAAACAGGAGTAAATCTTCATGCCCTTGGATCTAGCAATGGATTCTTAGATAGGACACCAAAGATATGACTGACAAAAGACAAAATAGATAAACTGGCTTTATCAAAATTAAAACTTTTGTATGTCAAAAACATTATCGAGAAAATGAAAAGGTAATCTACAGAATGGGAGAAAATATTTGTAAATTACATATCTGATAACCTATAGAATGGAAGAAGATCTTTGTAAATTATATATCTGATAAAGGTATAGTACACAGAATATATAAAGAACTCTTACACTCAATTAAAAATGAGCCAAAGACATTTCTCCAAAGATATGAAAATGGCCAACAGACATGTGAAAAGATGCTCAACATCATCATGGAAAGGAAAATCAAAACCACAATGAGGTATACTAATCACCCCCACTAATAAATACCATCCATCAGAAAATAATCTGTCCATCCATCATCCATCCACCTTTTTATTTTGTTTTGATGCAAAGTAATTTGCAGAGATTGGTGCACTTCACCATTAAACACATCAGGCTGTGTATTCCTTTTCTTTTTAACTTCTAATTCACAAAGAATTCATGAAGACATTATCTTTGTAAAAAATGGAAACATTACAGAGAACATCACTCCCCTCATCCTGTCCCTAGAGATGATGACAGCCATCCTCAGTTTGGAGTGTATTTTTACATAACTTTTTCTCAGCTTTGCATATACATAGATGTAGTCATGGAAAGTAGTATAATACTATTTGCAAGTTTCTTTCTTTCTTTCTTTTTAACACAAAAGGTGCTTTATTGAATGTGTCTTTTTCACTCACCATCTTTCCATGTCAGCACATGGTTCTACCTTATCATTTCTCCAGGCTGCAGAGTCTGCCACAGCGAGGATACATCATGGATTTATAAACCCAGGCCCCGTTTGATAGACATTTAGGTTGTTTATATCTGGTGTTATTCCTATCTTTTTCAGTTTTTGTCCAGACACCAAAGAAATAGGTTTGTTTGTTCATTTTTTAAGTGCTCAGTATCAAAGGTCACTTATATTAGATAAATCCAAAGGGAGGTCTATGGAGAGTTGGAAGCAGTGATAAGTTATTATGACCAGGATGCCCCAGAGACACTCGGGGAGGTTGATGTAGGTATTGCTGGGGACTCACCACATATGATGCGTTTATCGACGCACTTCCAGAAGTAGGGCTCCACCTTGGTCCTGCAGCCAGCCTCCTCATTTGCATGGTGGTAGCAGCAGTCATGATGATGACAGCACCTGTGGATGGCAGACAGGCAGATCAGCAGGTGAGTGAAGGTAGGGCTGCTCTCCTGGACATCTTCCTATGCCAGGACTATGAGTGAGTGAGGACCCACAGTGGAACAGCATCTTCTAGTCCAAACTTTGTCCCTAAGAATCTCTATCCTGGGAAAAAAATTCTGCCAAGCCCAGTATATCCTGCACTGATTCCATCCCATGCACATGCTCAAGCCTGGCCCCTGCCTGCCTCACTTTGAGTCTCTGAGCTCCAGCCATACCCATCTCCCATTGCTGGAGTGAGCCTGCCTCTGTCTTTGCCCATGTCCTGCCCTCTGCCTGGGACAACTTCATGCTCATTCTTCCTTTTAGGTCTCAGCCCAAGTACCAGGCCCCAACCCCAGGATGTCATCAGGCCCCCTACCACCCCAGGCTATAAGGGTCTCTTAGTTAACATCCTCTCATAAAACCAGGTTCCTTCCCTTCATAGCAGGTTTATAATGAGACCCTCATTAGTGAGATTGATTAATATCTGACTTCCTCAGTGAACAGAGCTCTGTGAAGGTGGGACCATTTCTGTCCTGTACCCCACAGTGTCACTAGCATCCAATCCAGGGCCTGACACATAATAATGATAATTATTATCATTGTAATTATTATTATTATTTACTGTTGAAAAATTCCCTGAGGAATACGCACAGATGTCCCTAAACCTACCCATCATTCATTCATTCACTAGTATTGTGTCCATCTAGCCATCAGCCCTACTCTGCTGGGTCTAGCAGGGACAGGTGAGCCAGATTCTGCTCTGCCCTCCAGGAGTTCTCAGTCTGGTGGTGGAGGCAGACAAGCCACCAGACGCCCCATGCATAGTGAGAAGTGCTGAGATATGAAGTAAGGAGAGGGAATCTGAAAGCCAGAGGAGGTGCCATGCCCAGCCGAGCTTCGGGGAAAGCTTCCTAGAAGAGGTGATACCTGGGCTGCATCTGGAAAAATGTACAGGAACCAGACAACCAGAGTGGGAGGGCATGGCTGACAACAGGAGCATTGAAGGCACAGGGCTAAGCAAGGGCCTGTTAGTGACAATCGCATCCAAGCTAGGGAAGAGACAATCAAATTCTCTTGCCACTTACTAGCTGTGTGAATGAGTGGCTGTGCTTCTCTGAGCCTCAGGACCCTCATCCGTAAAATGGGGATAGCCATCATGCCTGTCTCCAATGAAGGCCACAAGGGTAAATGAGAGGAAGTCACAGAAAGATCTAAGACCACAGTCTTACATGGAACAGGCACTTCTCACACAGTAGCAGAGTGCAGTGATTAGAGGTATGAATCTATCCAGGCCACTTAGGTTCAAATCTCAGTCCCCACCCCACCCTTACTCTCTATGTGGCCCCAGACAAGTTATTCAATCTTTCTGTGCCTCAGTTTCCTCATATCTGAAATGGAATTGTTGTGAAGACTCAAAGGGGTTCTCAAGATAGTTTCTGGTGCATTATGTCTGATCAACTTTATGTTATTTTATTCAGCCAAAGTAATCATCCCATGGCCAGGTTTGGGAGGGCAGCTGGCACCAAGGTGTGGCCTCATTGGCCATGTTATCTAGGAGGCCTTCTGCCTACAAGGTAGTAGTACCATGTGCAATTTCCTCATAGGCCTTAACTAACCTAGGGGATGGGAGACCTTCTAGCCTAGCCCAAGTGTGCACTCACCAGTCAATGGCATCCAGGGGTTGGCCACGGCCACCCAGGCCACAATAGCAGCCGTAGCTAACATAGGCCAGGGGGCTGCGGGGGCCAACACAGTCTATGGCCTCTGCCAGTTCTATGAGCCCACGCCGGTGCACATGTGACTTCAAGGAGACTGGGGGAAAACAAAGGTGAGAGACTGAAGGTCAGGTCTGCCCTAAGGAAGGTCGCTGGCCTAAGAAGGGCCTGGATGACTGCCTGGGTTTGAATCCAGTTCCTCCTCCTTCCTATCTGTGTGCCCTTAGGCAACTTATTCAGGCTCTCTGTGCCTTGGTTCCCTCATATGTAAAACAGGGGGATAAGGGGACCTCACTCCATGCAATGAAATGAGATCACGCATGTAAAGTACCTGGCACATAACAAGCTCTAACTATTATCACCAATATCCTCAAGGCAGCCATGAAAGAAAAAACGAGACACAGAGCCACGTCATCTGAGGATCATATCACTGGGCCTTTACACAGGCTTGTTCCTCTTCCTGGAATGCCCAGATTCCCAATCCCCTGCCCTTGTCAATTCCAGATGCAGTCGGACGGCAAGCTATGCAACAAACATCTACCCAGTTGCCTGTAATAAGTACTGGACAATGGAGATGAGCTAAACAGGGTCTCTGCCACCAAGGAGGGCTCCTCTGTGGGGGCTTCCCTGTCCTTAGATCTCCCCTGCCCCACCACCACTCCCCTCGAGACTCTGGCTCAGGGCCCTTTACATCTCCTCTTACTTTTACTGCCTAGGCACAGCTTCCTCCCACACAGGGAGATGCTGTGGCCGAAACCCAGCCATGGCTCTGACACACAGCAGTGCATAGTAGATACCATTAGAACCGCAGCATTTCACAGGTGAGAATGATGAGGCCTGTGCAGGAAGGATGACCTCCACAGTCACATGGCCAACAAGAACCTGCCTGACTGGAAGCTCTGACCCAGACTTCTGACTCCCAGTCCAGAGCTCATTCCTCCTCACAGGGGAGGGTAACAGAGCTGAGAGGCATCAAGAAGGGGGGCCACTGCTCAGGGTCAAAGGCCTCAAACCCGCTGTGACATGGATTGGACATCAGAGAATCCCAGGGTGACCCCTCCTTCTGGTAAGGGCAATGAGTCTACTCTCTGGCCTTCGGTCAAAAAACAACAGTCAGAGCAACAGTAGGAGAGGCAATCTCTTGAAGCTCACCTTGCACTGTGCTCCCCAATTTATAGGCATCGCCTCCTGTCAATGGCATAGCCTCCTCGTCTTGTGGGCAGCTGTTAACCCACTTACAGACGGGGAGGCTGAGACTAGAGAGGTGAAAGGACCCCCCATTGAAGGTCACAGGGCTGGTGAGCTGCAGAACAGAAGCTCACGCCCAGTCATGCCCGATTTCTGGAAGTCCACTCTCCACTAGTCTGGGACTGTGGATCCAGGGATTCATGCACTGCATTTGGTCATCATGTCTCTTTCACGTTTTTTCATCCAGAACAAGTTTTTAACACACTAACTTTTTTGAAGAATCCAGGCCAAAATTAAATCCAATTTCGTTTTTTCTCAGTGGAAAAACTAGCATATTCATGTGGAGGAATAAAGATGAATTAAAGAGAAACAAACAAACAAATAAATAAACAATGAATGTAGCATTAAAAGCTTCACCTTTCTTTCTGAGTCCTCACTGTCCCAGGACTTGCCGAGTGCTGCTCCCAGCTGCCCACACCTCTGCCCGAAACCTCCCGTGGCTTCTACCACCCTCCAGATAAAGCTCAGAGGCCTCCCTGTGGCCCAGAGGCCGTGCCAGAGCCAGCCCCCTCTGTTCCCTCCAGTGTCCTCTCCCAAAGCTCCCCACATGGACCCTGCTAATCATCTTCTGTTTCTCCAGTTAAACTTTCCATCACATGTATCCTGTGCTGCAAATGCCCTCACCCAGCTCACCTGTCACCACCGAGAATCTGCCTCACCCCAGGTAACCACAGGGGACCTTGTCACCCAGTGCTGCTGTCTGCTTATGGGAGTGACCCTCTCACCTGGGAGCGCTCTGGGCAGATCTTTGCCGTAGGCAGCTCCAGATCCCCTGGCATGCAGTGGGCATCCAGACAAGGCCCCTTGACCTCTGGATCCACCAAGCCCCAGTCTAAGCACATCTGACAGGATCCCAGTCTTAACCTTATACTCCACAGCTGTCCCCAGAGACACCTCCGCCCCTTGCCCAGACCTAACCATGCTCTGCTATCTCACAGGGTCCCAGGCATTGCCCTATGGAGAACCCAAGCATGCGGCAGACACCCAGCACTGGGTTTGGAACCAAGGTAAATACTCCCTCTGGGACAGCTAAGGTGGGGCAGGTCACTCTGGGGTCTGTTTGCTCTGTCTGCCCACGGCAGCCTCTGCTGGGAGTGCCAAAGCTGTCCAGGCTTCCTATCTTCCCATCTTTCCTTGGGCCTGGGTGTGCGTGGTGTGTGTGTGTGTGTGTGTGTGTGTGTGTGTGTGTGTGTGTGTGTGTGTGTGTGTGTGTGTGTGTGTGTGTGCGTGTGTGTGTGTGCGTGCGCGCGTGCACACGTGTGGGCACATTTCCTCTTGGAGTATCTCTGTTTGTGTCTATATGTGAGTCAGTCCATGAGCGCTATACCTTAGTGCCCAGGTGAGGCTGGAGATGTGGATGTGTATAGTGTGGTGTCTGTATATTTTCCTGCGCTTGTGTGTGTCTGTGTACCCCAGAAATGAGCAGTCACTGAGGGAACCTCTCTAAGGGTGATGACCAGGGGTGGGTGAGAAGGCAACCTTATGTTCTTCCCCAACCCCAGGTAGGGCTGGGCCCCTTCTTCCCCTGCTCCTCTGCCTCTGGTTTCCCCTGGTAGTCCAACCTCAGACTCCAGGGACAGGAGGAGGAAAAGTCAGTTCACAGGACCCCAGGCCACAGGGATGGGGAGGGTCTGGTGTCTAGAGAGGATTACAGTGAGTGGAAGGGTGTCTGGGGAAGACACTGGGCCCCTGGAGAAGGGCTGGGCTAGTTCGGGGTCCCTGGGAGGTGTGAATGAGTGGGAGCTCTTGGGGAGGACTGGAGACAGGACTCCTGGAAACCTGGAAAGGAATCTGTCAGTGAGCGAAAGAAAGGAGGGCTGGGGGCTGTAGGGCTCCAGAAACTTGGGGAAGGCTGGTGGGCTGGAGTCCTTGCAGAGGGGTGGGGAGCAGGGCTCCTGGGTCTCTAGAGAAGGCTAGCGAAGTCCCGAGGGCTCCTGGGTCCTCCGAGGGGCCCAGTTCTCACTCACCTGCACTGGGCAGGAGTCCAGGGGCCAGGAGCAGCAGCAGCGGCAGCATTACTGGCAGGCCCAGAGGCAGTGGATACATCGGATGGTGGCAGGTGTGAGACATCTGGCGGGCTAGTGTAGTCACCAAGCCGGGGCCAAACCCCCTCCCCCGTGCCCCGTCCGGTCCCGCCCCTGCCCTCACCTTCCCACAGGGCCTGGGCGGAGCCCCACAAGGGCGGGCCCCTGGGGCGGCAAGAAAAGTCCCTCCCTGACCTCTGCATCTTGGTCATCGAATGGTTTTGCGGGGCCAAGAGAGAGGATTCAGCCCAGGATGTCTCAGATTAGGGTTCGGGAGAATTATGGAGGAAAAGCGTTTAGCACAGGGCGAGTCACCACGTGGGTGTGCAGAAAGGGTGCTCTGTTATTATTATTACCTGCAGCCCCCTCCCGCGCTCACCAAAAGACGTCTTGGGGGGAGGGGGAGGGACTGAAGGTGATTTTAAACACTTTAAATGTAGGAAATCTGGCGCTCCTGATACCCCTTGAAATCAGCTCTCTGCATTGCCCCCCATCCCCACTAAAGCCAGGAAACTGAGAGAGTCAAAGATTTGCCCAAGGTCACACAGTGGGTTCTGGTAAAAGAAAGCTGGAATCGTGGGGGAGGGGAGCTAGCCCCACAGCCCCACACCCTTCCCACCTTCTCCAAGGGACATACATAATAGGCGCTCAGCATTGAAAAGAGATGAAAATTGTGGCACACATCTGTCCCCATTGTCCTTACCAATTACTTATTAATTTCTATTGATTTCGAGTCATAACTACTTTTGAGAGTACAACTCTAGACCCTTCCCATGGCCATGGCCAAGCTCTAGTAAAAACAATGGCAACTAAGGTGATGTCATTTCCCATAGGCTATATATTGTTCTAAAGACACCAGATGCATGATCCTATAATTTCAGGCCCCTGGTGGCCCCTTTTCACAGGAAGAAACTCAGGCTCAGAGAAGCTGAGAACCAAGAATCAGGGGAGCCCAGATTCAAATTAATTTCTACATCAAACCTCTGACTGCTTCTATCTATGAAAACCTAGGGCGTCAGGCCATACGTCTGCCACTCTTTGAGTTATTATTGTCTCCCCACTGGGGTGAGTTTCTCAAAGCAACGCCTGAATCTCTTGAGCCCCCAGCATGGGCCTGCCTGGCATATACAAGTGTTTAATTAAGGCTTGTCCACACAGATTATGGGTTTCAGACCCTCCAAAACATGGGGTCTCCGATGGGTAATGGGAGATAAAATATCTCACATAAATCTATACAGAAAGACTTTTGATTTCAAGGAATTTCCCATTTCCTTGAAATATGCACAGAAGAAAACTCATTGACACTGATAAGTCCATTAGTCAGGAAATCTGTTCTTAATATTAGAACTTTTCACTAAAAACTTTACCACTTTAACTGGTTAGCCTCAATCATCTGCTAACTCATTTATACAGAATAATTTGATTATGTTAGATAACTGGGGCATTGGTTCCATCACCAAATATACTAAATGTCCTACTCCTCAATTAACATATTACAAATAATGTAAATCATAAGTCATGTCCAAAAGTGCCTAGGTTGAATGTGCTGAGATGAGGGGGTATGACAGAATGTGAATTGAGTCAGAAATCAGCTCACTTCTAATGGTGAGTTATGCTTATCAATGAACTGTGCCCTAGTGTTGGTCTCAATTTAACCATGCCTTCAGGTTTCATCCTGGTGTATTGATAAAGGGTTGCTACAAATGTCTGGTGAATAAAATGATTTCTTCTTCTTTGTGACACAAGTGAGTACTCCTCCATGACTAGAAGGTAAAATAACTCTAAACATGGGGGGAGCATATGAATCTGGGTGCTTTTTACAGCTCATGAGACCACAAATAACAGAATGATGAATCCAAACACAGACCAGCACACCCTTTGACCCAGAAACCCCTTTCCAGAAATAGCTCTAAGAAAATACTCAGATAAGATTTATGCACAAAGTTGATCCTTAACAAAGAGCAAAAACAACCTAGAAGCAACCTAAATACCCAACAATAAAAAGGTAAATTATGAGATCTTCATATGATAGAATATGTACTCATTCTAACATATAGTGTTTTCGAAGAATATTTAATGGCCTTTTAAAAACACTTTAAAAAGCCGAAACTTATAGTATAATCCTACCTTTATAATTACAAACCATACAACTGAGAGAGAGCCATACATAAGCATATTTATATGAACATACCCGCTAACATAGATACATGGGGCTCTCTGGAGGGAGGAGGAGGGAAAGGGAAGAAGAAATGTAGAAAAAATGAATGGAATGTGTCAAAATGTAATACTGGTTCTAGTTCTCTTTTGGTGATAGAATTACATGATTTTTATTTATATCTTTGTATCTTTACTTTTCTTGATATCTTTGTACCTAAACTTTACTTTTATTTATATCTTTGTACCTAAACTTTTGTGATTCAGAGGAAAAAATAAAATTAAAAAAATAGACTCATAAACTTTAATAAAGTTTGTCTATTGAAAAAGTTATCTCAGTATTTTTATTCTAAAAACACAGAGACGCAGGCATAAGAATAAAGATATTCATCAGTTTTTGGTTTCTGTTTTTAAGAAATTTTGTATTCCCGTGGTTACCAGGACTATGGGGAGGGAGCAAGAGGGATGTCGCTGTTTAATGAATATAGAGTAAATTCATAGGCATTTACCTTCTGACCCAGCAATACAAGTCTAAGAATCTATCACAAAAACATACTGGCAAAAATATGAAATGGCATATGCTCAAGGTTATTCATTTTGACACTTATAACAATAAAGTAATGGAAACAACACAAGTACCTATCTACAGAGGAATGGTACAGCCTCACAATTTTAATCAGAATCTGCAAAGTTTTAATGAGGAAGAACACTGCATATAGCTATGAGGTATCTCCAAGATAATTGTCAAATTAAAAAAAGCGAGGTGTAAAATAGTATGAATAGTTGGCCCTGTTTTGTTTTTTAAAAGGAGGAAGGACATAAATGCATATACATATGACTTTTTCTATGTATATAAGTAACAATGGAAAGATAAACCAAAAACTAATAAAAATGGTTACCTAGGTTACCTGTAGGAGTAAGAGAACAGACTGAGGAAAAGACAGAAGATAGATTTCTCTAAAAGTATTTTATTTTATTAGTTTTGACTGCAGATTTGTGTAAAAGTTTTACATAATTTAGAAATAAAATTCAATTAAAAGGACAATATTTCTAAAAATACAAAAGAAATGCATGAATCTATATAATTAGTTGGTAGATAACCACAAGGAGAGGACTTATTTCAAGAGACCTGAAAATATAGTATTTTGACTGTTATTCTAAAAACAAAACACTTACAACAAGCAATCCTAAATTGTGTTCAAAGAGCTTATTATTAGTGGTAATGATATAGAAATACTAAAAAAAAAAATGAATGCAGGAAACTAGGAATAGAGGAAAATTCCTCATCTTGATAAAGAATATCTATAAAAAAAATCTACAACTAACATGATACTTAATAATGAGAAACTAGAATCTTTCCAGCTAACATCGGGAACAAGGCAAGGATGTCCCCTCTCACCACTCTTCTTCAACTTCATACTGCAAGTCCTAGCTAATTGCTATAGACTGAAGGTTTGTATCCTCCCAAAATTCATATGTTGAAACCTTTGGAAGGTGATTAAGCCATGAGAGTGGAGCCCTCATGAATGTGATTAGTGCCCTTATAAGAGACCCCGGAGACCTCCCTCACCCCTTTCCTCTATGTGAGGACACAGAGTGAAGATGGCTATCTATGAGCCAGGGTATGAGCCTCGCCAGATACCAAATCTGCTGGCAACGTGATCTTGGACTTCCAAGCCTCCAGAACTGTGAGAAGTGAATCTCTGTTGTTTACAAGCTACCCAGTTGATGGCAATTTTTTTA